GTATCTCAAACTATTGATAAAAACTTCATGGGGGCTTATATCAGTATTTCCATTTATAAAATAAATACACGTCTTATATCAGGAATTCTATTATATGAAAATGGCATCAATGGCATTCTTGCTGATGAGATGGTAAGTCATGATACATGCTTAAATTTGTTTTGCACTGAGGTTTAGCTTTACTAAATGAAGTTTACTGACTCTTCTTATGTTAGTGTGAAATCTCTTGTAAGTTACTGTCATTTTCCCCTTGATACCGCAGTACACCATTGAGAAAAAGGTTATTGAGAGGGCATATAAGAAGCTGTTCTCTATATGCCTTGTTGTGGGAAATGTTATGGAAGGAGATAATTAAGCCCATGAACTAAACTAACTACATAACAAACTAGTTCAGACGTATATCTGAAAATTCACAGCTGTCATTTTTTTACTTTACTTTTTATTTATGGATGTTTTTAAGTTTTTACTTCACTCCTTCTACCCCATAGTAAGAAAACCCCTATTCTCTAAAGGCCTGATACACGTGGCATCTGTTTTTGTACGTATTAATTTGTTTTTATTCTAATTTAAAATATTTTAGCTAGCTTGATAACATGCAGAACATCATACAGGGAGTCTATAATGACAAGGATGACGTTGCATCTCTTCCAACATGAATCATGTGATTTTAACTCATGGGAATTCCATATTTATATTTAGTTCCGGTGGTAATTTCAACTGTGATTCTTCCTGTGGACCTGTACTAGTATTATTAAGCACTGAACTTGTCGATTAAAATCACTCAAACTAGAGTCTAACATAATTGATCTTTGTGATGTTAAAACAAAAAATTTCAAGCCACTAACTGTTTATGATTATACAGGTTTCCTCGCAAGCTCTGACTCACATCATTAAAACGAACCCACGTATGAGGTGTTTGAAAGCAGCATGCTGTAGGAACTTGTATCAATTCAAAGATAAGAGCATGCCAGATATTAGTAGTTCTACCAGTGAAGATCTCTTCCGTGAATTAGGCAAGACATGCATCCTGGAAGAAGTTGCATTTGGCTGGGGATTTTCTTCTTTTCAACTAGAAATGCTAAAACCTTCCATTAGCAAACTAAGAGCCATTACGTTAGGCCTTGGTGCATCACTAGACAATCAAACACTCTGTTGAGCTTTGACTGAAAACTGCCTGAGTTTAGTTGAGCTTTCATTGTCAGGGTGTAAACTTCTTGATTCAAGTAAGAAACTCATAATCTTTTTTTTACTACAGTTTTTGGCTGTCTAATACTCATTGGATTCATGTTTTACACTAATGTAATACGTATTAAGCTTATGATGCTGCTCTTGCACAAAGAGACCATAGTCATGGAGTGGACCTCCGCGGAGCTGCGCACAATAATAGTCAAGGAAAGAATATAGTGTGGAAGCAAATGGTGGGTAGTATTTAGCAGCATCCAAACTTTGTTGCATTCAAGCTTTGTAACATTATTGTACTAGATTGAGTGTAATTGTAGATGACACTTCTTTACCATTACAAAAGCAAACAATAGACCGGTGAGTGATGGGGCCAGGTGGTTTTGTGTTCAGAATAGCACTGTTTGAGACATTTTTTGTGTATGTATATATTTCCGTTTTCAATGTGATATATTGAGAAATTATTGTGTGAGATGTGCATATTAAGTGTAAGCATGTAGATATTTAAAATAGCTAAAATTAAAAAATGATAAAAATAAATAGTCCAAACGGGTAAAACCGTTTGGCCAGAATTTGGTCCAAACGGTTGCAACCGTTTGGATAGAGTTTTGTCCAAACGGTTTCACCCGTTTGGGCATTTTTGACAGCCCAAACGGTCGTAACCGTTTGGGCAAAATCCCAAACGGTTACAACCGTTTGGGATTTTGCCCAAACGGTTACAACCGTTTGGGCGACCGTTGGGGAAAACTCTTCCCCAACGGCTTTAGCCCAAACGGGTTTTTTACTCGGCCAAACGGTTGTAACCGTTTGGGACTACATTTGCCCAAACGGTTAGAACCGTTTGGACAGATCAATTTTGTACTAGTGATATTACATGTAAGATCCTATCAGTACAGTTACGCAGTGTACAAAGACTAAGATACAGCAATGTCAAAGGCTTGTTTCGTCTCTCAATTATTGTTAATGGCTTTCAATAATCAATCTGTGGAGCGTGGGGCCATCAATACCCCAAACGCGGAACATTTTTTTTTTTTTGCCCCCCTTCATTGAACGCTGTCTTTTCCTCCCAAATACAGAAGCAACATTCACAATGAATCTCCTCGGCTTGTATATTTGTGTTTTGTTTTCTCGAGCCAATTTGTCGCGTGCTGCATGTCGTTAGCAAGCTCGAAGCATCTCCCTAGATTTTGGACTACAAAACAATGGGTTGTGAATACCAACCCTAAAGTCCTCCTCCATCTTCTGATGTCGAAATATTTGGAAGGAAACCCCAACTTGGCGCCAAAAGAGGAGATACACAGCTTAATTTGTGAGCACGGTTTTAATGGAAAGAGAGCAACTCGTAACTTTTGTGATGTGTACATTTTTCTGCTCATGATAACAAATATAATTTTGTCTTTGGGTACTACATATTTACTATGTGGCATCATTAATGTTGCTTAACCTAACTTTGACATAAATAAGTTTTGTGAAAATTGTAATTTTTGAATTTACCGGTCACGTGATTGATAGAAGATCTTTGTTTGACGTGAAGACGTGAGTAGTGTTAGGGGCACACCATTAAACCACACTATCAACCACACCCCTCTCTATCTATAGTGTCTTTATGATTTTTTTAGTAAAACATGTGGGGCCCAACAAAACACTATAGATAGAGAGGGGTGTGGTTGATAGTGTGGTTTAAGGGTGTGCCTCTAGTGTTTCTAGACGTGAAATAGGGTAAATTACACAAAACCGCCATGAGCTTTTTGTGTTTTGTAGTAAACCCAATGAACTTTCAAAATCACACTAAACGCCCTATATTTTTGCAGGAAACCCCCTAGACTTTTAGGCTAACCCCCATGAACTTTCAAAATGCTGGTTTATGCTATTTTTTCAGTTCTACTTTCTGGAGGCTATATGCAAGGCTCAAAATTAGTTGCTTAGTGTGATTTTGAAAGTTCATGGGGGTTTACTATAAAATACTGAAAGTTATGGGGGTTTAGTGTAATTTACCCAATAAATAATTCTACATATGTACAAAGAGGGAAAGGTTTGCCCTCCAATTATGCCACACCTCTAGGTGAACCAAATGACCTACCAGAAATCCAATTTGTCTAGTTCTTTTTAATTGTAATTAGTCGCATGTCATTGCTAACATAGGGGATATATTTCTCTTTATTGACTAGGTACAACAATTATTTCGCTTGTCCTCTTTGTCTTATATGACCACCAAATCTTTCTAAATAGACCCCAAGCTGGCATGGAAATAGGAGGAAAAGATGCGCCACTTTGTAAAGGCAAAGACAAAATATGTTGCAAGCAACTTTTGAGCTCATGACATTAGTACGACTGTACGAGCATTGATAGCCGAACATTAGTTTTGGCTAATGAACATCTTAATTTTTCTGGGCCTGCTGCTACTTTTACTCAAGAGATGAAATTGATTAACTGGAGAATATATTGTCCATTTATATTAATGTTTCGAAAATATATCGTTCAAAACACTTAGGATGTGTTTTACAATCGTTGAAAAACTAGGTTACGACCATTCCTGGCCCATGTTTGTCTCAAACTAGATTGAAATTAAAATTGCGTGGGGGCTGACCTAATAAAGAACAAGCTTAAAGGGGGTCTTTTTAGGACCTAAGGAGAACCGTAACAATTTTAGCCCAATTTTTGCTAAACAAATAAAAGCTCAAAACTGCTAGGACTAATTTTGATCTAGTTTTAAGGGGTTGCCAGACACACCGTAGAAGCTTGCGTAGGTGACAGTTACACTTGCCAGTGATGGGAAGTTATTACAAAGTACTAACATTTTTACTTAGAAAATGAAAACATTCCCTATGATTTTTATTATTCTACACATACTGGAAGAGGTAAAAAAATTCTCTCTAGGCGTATATTACTTCTCTCAAGTGTGGGGAGTTTCTTACACCATTTTCCTTAAGAACTCACCAAAGGCATTATAATTTTTAACCCTTAAACACACATCTATCTTGTACTGAATTGCATTGATGGAACTTACAATTGTGACATAGATATTAGCCGTATATCAATATAATCAAAACAAGTTTTATTAAGTAAACTCTATGCTAACACATACTAGTCATAAGATACACGTGGATGCTTTTCAGATTTCCCTAATCAACAATCACCAACCAGTAATAATCAACAACCCCCCACGAGTAACTCCTTAAACAATAAGAGTGATAAGTTTTACGTGGAAATCTACCCAAAAAATGAATCCTAAATTTGTGGGAATGGCTGCGGATAGAGAAGCATCACAGCAAAGAAAGAAGTACGTTATCGCTGGTAAAAGGAGGGTTAAAAAAACATTAGAAAAATGATACAGGCACACCCTCAGGCACACCACCAACCACACCCATTCACTATCTACAGTGCAGGGGGCATCACATCAGATTTTTTAAAAAATCTGATGTGATGCCCCCTGCACTGTAGATAGAGAAAGTGTGTGGTTGATGGTGTAACTAAGGGTGTGTGCCTGTAGCGCCTCCCAAAACATTATCATGCTGATTCACGTCATCAGCGATTATTGCCCTCTCCACCGAAAACCAAATAATTTAAACACCAAGCACAGGGTTCTGTTTTATCAATCTTTTCACCAATTGCAACCGAATACCCTGCACATAGATTTCTCCTCTCTGTGTCCAGATTGGCCACTGATGAACCTTGCACAGTAAGTTCATAATAAAACTAATTAATAAGCCACCTCCGTCTGACTGGGCCCCACGCATCCCCATCCACCCATACGTTACACACTCATCATCATCATCATCATAATATGCCCATCCCCCCTCATTTAAATACCCCAACAAGCTCCACCGAAAAAGCCCCCAAACAAAAGAAATGGAGTTCTCTGGCTCAGAAACAGAGTCCCCTGTTTTCCCAAAAACCAAGGAAAACAAGAGCCCAAAAAGCCATGAGAGCGGCAAAAAATGGCCAAGGAAGAACAGGGTGACTCTCGAAGGCTATGTTGAGAGCGATGACGTGTCAGAGAGTGGGTCCAGCAATGGAGTTGGGAGAACAAAGAGCCTGACTGACGAGGACTTGGAGGAGCTCAAGGGTTGCTTGGATTTGGGGTTTGGGTTCAGCTATGATGAGATCCCTGAGCTATGCAGCACTCTGCCTGCTCTTGAGCTTTGTTATTCTATGAGCCAGAGGTTTTTGGATGATCAGAGGGTGAGTGAGTCCAGTTCTAGTGATCAGGATTCTGTGACCTCAACAAGTTCTAGTTCTAGTTCTTCTTCTCCTCTGGTTGCAAACTGGAAGTTCTCTAGTCCTGGTGAGTTTTCTTAGATTTTTCTCTTTTCAGTATTTCTCAAATTTCTGTCTGTAGCCACTTTTTTTGGGTTTTTGATTTTTTGTTGTTGTTGGAAGTATACTGGATTGAGGTAATGGATTGAATATACAGCACGATCAATATGGCATAATTTAATTTTTCATAATTTTCGTCTTTTGGCTAAATTAGTTTCTTTTGGTCATCAATATATTAAAGACTAATGTTACAATTAGCTCAGTTCATAGATTTCTATTCTGAACAAATGAAAGATTGATGTAGGCACAAGTTAAAGACATGAACTTAGAGTAGAGTTATTTTCGGTCAATTTCTTATAAAAGGGGGGAAACTTTTGCTTTCCAGAAAGATATCCAACCAAGTTGTTCGTTAGCTAAAATATTAAATTGGTAATCGTATAATTTTGGTAAGATGCGTAATTTTCTTGTTTAGATAAATAAATTTGTTTTTAATGATTGATTTCAGGGGATGATCCAGATGAAGTGAAAGCAAGGTTGAAGTACTGGGCTCAAGCTGTGGCGTGCACGGTTAGATTATGCAGCTAGCAAAAATTCATGCTTATAATATATCATTTATGGGATTTAGAAGAATCTTTTGTGATGAAGCGATCACAGTTAGAAGCAATCAGAAGAAGAAGAAGATGAGGAGAATGGGGATGGAATGAGGTTCAGTGTTGAGCAGCATTAACTGTAAATTAGTTACCAATGTTACCCTTTTTTTTTTTGCTGCTATGTTATGGAGCCCCAAAAGCTAGCTAGTCACAGATTGTTCAAGAATTGTATAATTGGGTTTTTTTTTCCGCCATTAAATTGGTGAAGAATTTGTGGCTGACAATGCTATTACCCCGTAATAATCTTCTCTACAGTTTTGAGATGTGTTTTTGGTTTGCATTGATGAGTCAAAGCAAGAATTTAAGTGCCATATCTACAATTGCTCTTCGGTTTGATGGCGATAACCATTTAAGTCTCTAGCTGTCAATATCTGGAAAACCTAACAACCCTCCCACTTGCTTGTCCAAATGAAGAGGAGGATACTTGGCTGAATATACATACTTATGGGTTAATTTCACAACAACAATTCCCACCACCCCCTCCCTTTCCCCTCTAATTTTAAACATTGTCATTTGAGCAACATACCCTCTCCCCTAAAGTTTTTACATTTGTTTCTCTCACGAAAATTTTAATTATTTGCAAATTACATGTTCAATTCTCGTGAGAAAAATTTGAAGTTCGGAGGGGGAGGGGGTGAGAACCATAAAGTTTAGGGGCGTTATGTGAGACAAATGAAGTTCTGTGGGCCGGGGTTACATGCAATACCCCCAAAGTTTAGAGAGGTTATGTGCAATGCCCTCAAAATTCAAGGGGTTTTCAGGGATCAACCCAATATATTTTGAAGGATGGATTTTGAAGAATAGGACACCCACTTAGAAAACCTAACAACCCTATCACTTGCTTGAACTTCAAAATGATGCATTTGAAGAAATCTTTTTCTTGATAATATGAATCAAACTGCAATTTAACTTAATCTTGTGAAGGATGGAGGGTACTCCTTTAAAATGAAAAAAAAAAAAAAGCTTCTATAGTTATCCGGCCCCTACCTATTTTCACATGAGAACTGTTAGTATTTGAGAGCTTGTACAAATGAATAAAACTCTGGTCTTCTATTCCGTGAAAGCATCACATTTCTGTCCACAATTCCCTACAATTAATACAAGGCCCTACATACTGTATATAGGTAACAGTTACATGTCATTCTCTTCAAACTACTTCTATTTAAGAAAGAGAAAAAGACGTGTTGTTTTTTTTAAAATTAATCCGGTAACCAGAATATTTTCAAATATCTCTGAATACTTGCCCAAGAAGAATTTATTATCATCTACTGATAAAAGAATAAAGTGTTTCTTCAACAAAAAATTGATTCGTATTTAAGAAATTTATTATTGATTTTCTTGGGCGTAGTTAGATCCAGATACGGATCCGATAACATGAACTTGGATCCGGACCTTCATTCTGAAGGTCGGGACCCATGTCAGCCACCAACTTTTGCTCAATTATTGGGATGTCATAAGGATGGGCCGCATGTGCGCTTGCCCAGTGGTCGTTTGCGTCCCCCCGTGATTAACGCAACATCATCATCATCATCATCTCATACATACTAATTGAACCCCATACATACATACATGACTACCATGCATGTAGCTTAGACTCTCATAAAACCATCCATGATGTCATGCCATCAGATGCCAGCAATAATCCAGACACACATGCAAACTGAAAGAGTAGAGTGAACGCAAGCAGAGATCGGCTTCAAATCAAATTTAACTTGGCCACCTGTACTAAAAGTCAAGGAATCCTTTCGATCAGAATGGATATCATGAGCTAGTTATATCTTATACAATATTCACGATAACATATCATGAGATACTTGATGTATGCATTTGGTATGCTCAAAAATATATATCTCGAATTCTCCTACCAATATCATATCCATATTAGTGCTGTGAGATGAATTCAAATAGACAGTCTCAATGCACGTAATAAGTGAATATAAACTATAATATAGAATAGTGACTGATTGCAATATTTGCATGATATGTTATGGACTATAACTCCTGATTCGAGAAAGTTTACGACGAGTGTTTTTTTGGATGATATTGATTTTCATGATAGACATGATTAAAAATGGACTCTAGTTTACCAGGTTTATGAGATAAGATTTTTCCAAAAGGGGAAAAAAAATAAAAAAAAGATAATGCATGCACAGAAATACTAGTTATGCGATAATCACAGAAATTTCTAATTACCTGATGAAAAGGATCTTTATCTTTAATGAAAATTTGTCTGTGAAAGACTTTATAAGGAAAAAGGCATACATTAGAATGGAAATTGAAAGATTCCATAAGATATTAACTAAAATCTGAAATGTCCTTACTTTGATATGATGATGTGCTATATATGGTCATGGAAAACAAGAGATGCCATATGCATATAGTATATTAGCCGCACTCCCCCCCCACCCCGCGCCGCCTCCCGCCCCTCCACCCCCTCGCCCATCCAAAAAAAAAAAATCTAATTTTTAACAGTTGAGAAGAGATGTGTCACTTAGTGTAATTGCCTTACAAAGAAAAGTTCACAAGCACATAAATCCTCAGCTAATCTTTTCTTAATGAAGTGTAATCAATTAGCAACTGTTATCATCCTAGATGTAAATTCTATCACATTGTTCACTAACCTGTAGGAAATGGCAAGATCATAATCTGCCTCAAGAAAACATGGATTAAAACTGGAGAACCCCACCTGTTTCATTATTATAGAAATAGAAAGGAAACAACAGCATTCAAGCATGGCAGGGTTTAGTCCAGGTCAATGAACAAAGATGACACAATCGCTAATTGCCTATATTCTTGAAGCAGTCAAATCCAGTTTGGTTACATGTAACTATGCTATATGAAAAGGTTTCATCAAGTTTGATTGAGGGATTGAGATAGAAAGATACACTAATAATAGCTAATTCCCAGCTTTTCAAGCTGCCAAATCCTATTTGGTTACTTGTTACGTAATGAAATCCTTATCTTCTGATCAGGATAAATTTTAATTCTTAGAAGCTTTAATAGTAGATATACAACTTTCTCAATCCTAACCATTCACCGGTATCTTGAATGGTTATGATTTAGTTCAAATATAACCACCATCATAACCCTTCTGAATTTAATTTATTCTTTACTTTTCCTCAAGACTAATCATAATTGTAGTAATTATGATTGAGAAGAATCCCTTGAGAGTGAATAGCGCTATTGTGATTTAAGGATTTCATGATTATTTCTTATCCTTATCCTCAGAATACAACTAGTGTGATTAAGACTCCAAAATATCTCTTACTAGTAATCAGTGACATTTCTATCATTATCATCAATCATCATCGGACTTTTTGATATCCAGTAACTCTCACTAATTATGTTTCCTCTGAGCCATAGCATAACCATAGTGATGGTCATGGTTAATAGTTAATATAATACCATAATTGACTCTCTCCTTCAGAGACAAACACACAAATTAACTAGCTTGCTGGACTCTGCTGCGCTAATAGATTCATATCTTGTGTTTGCCTTGTTCGGTAAGAAATGCATATAATTGCCAAGAAGGCACTTCATGTTATTGAAGATGAAGGTTAAAGTACAAGACACCATGTTACAATGAGGGTTAATAATTCTTTAACCAGGGTTCATGATGCCAAACAAATACAGACATTTTAATTAACCAGGACTTATGACACCAAACAAACAGACATTTTAACCATTGTACCCAAATCATTTTAACCAGGACTAAAAGCTATAAAAACGCAGTTCACTGTTGTGTTAGGTTCATAGTGTCTAGTGATGCGCTAAAGAAAGAGAGAAATTGTATTGAGACATTTACAAATGAACAAGTTTATTGCGTTTAGGATCTCCGATACTGAATAGACTTGAGAACATAAGTGTTCAGAGAAAAATCAAGCAAATACATGTTAGGGATTACTAGGTAGTAACATAACCATGTGCTGAAGATGTCAAGTACATACAAGAGCAGGAGCATCTACGGACATTCAGGTGATCATGGATGAGGCAGACAAGAAAAAACATGTTACAAAATAACTGCATGCTCTGAAGGTGACAAATTGGATTCTGGTAGCAAAATGCACTTAGATAATACGTAATGCATGCACGAGAAATAGAATACAGGTAAAGGATAAGGAAAAACTTAAATTATGTAAACTAAACCAGTAATCTCTTTGGGCCTAGACTTGGATAAGAAGAACAAACAATTTCATATCATTCACAAATCTCATTCTAGATTAATGGAATCAGGCTTAGATCATCTTTTAATCAGTACCTTGCCAAAAGAAAATCCTAAAAATTTGGACAATACAGGAAAGGTAAGTTCTATATTCTCAACTATCAGAAAGGTGTTTACGTTATAGATCAAAGCCAATAGGAGAGAGCAACTAACTAGTATAGAGCAACTATAGTGATTTTCACCAAAACAGAAAGACCGACGAGCGAATTTCAAAATTAGTGTAATAAAATAAGCCATTTTGGGGATTACTTTCACATGAAAGATTGCCTATGTTGCATGGGTAAGGGCACAGGTGCGGGTGTGGACGTGGTCATAGGTGCAGATATGGGATGCGGCAGATGTGTAAAATGCAGGGTACGGGGGCATGGCAATACATATACATATCAAAATTAGTAATTTATATAAGATGGATATTGCTTTTCATTCACACATTATAAGGAAATCCCTATAACATTTTTATGTTTCTTTTATTGAAGATTAAAAATTTTCTGCTCGTTTTTTGAACTAGATACCAAACTACCCTTAAAAATCATACTTATGAATTGGATATGGGCTAAAACAAACCCGAGTCGAGTCCAAAGAGTTGCATAAATTTGTGGTGAAGTGTAAGATATATATATCCAAGAAGTGTACCACGAATGTTATGGTGAAGTGTAAGATATATATCCAAGAAGGGTACCACCAGTGTTTTAAAGTGAAACGTGTATTATATACTTGAGTACACGACCAAAGAAATGTACGTACGTGCTCGAGAAGTGTCCAAGGAGTGTTGGACGCATACACGGGAAGTGTTGGATACTGACACGGGAGCCAAAATTAAGTGTTCAGGTAACCTAAAAGATTACAGACAAATAATTCTACATAGTCTAAATCAAAACTTGTCTTAAAAAAATAAACCAGTGAGGATTTTGTTATATACTTTAGTCTGTACAAAGAAAAATAATTCTATGACAAAATAAATTTTGTACAGTTGTGATCCTTACCCCCGTCTTCATATGTTCATTGTTAAATACCCGAATCGGCATGTATATACTCAGAGTCCAGATTCAGTTGAACATACTTCATCTCGGATTACCTCGTACAACTCCACCAATCTCTGATATATTACTTCAGATTTTGGATGAGATTCATCATTTGCAATGAAAGCGTGTATCTCACTCTTTACCTCAATCCAACTCCATCCAGCATCCTTCTTCACTCCCCTCTCGTCCATCATCAGCCTAACTCTCTTTACTTCCCTCCATTCCCTGTGCATAGCATGTAAATTCGATAAAAGAATATAACCTGCAGAATCATCTGGAGTTAATTCAAGAACTTTTTTCGCCGCAATTTTCCCTAGTTCAAGATTTCCGTGTAATTTACAAGACCCTAGCAATGTTTTCCACATCAAAACATCTGGCTCAAATGGCATTTGTTCTATTATACAAATAGCTGCTTTAAAAAGACCAGCTCGGCCCATCATGTCAACCATACATGCATAGTGAGAGGAGGATGGGTTAATGCCATAAAGATCCTTCATAACCCTAAAATATTTGATTGCATCATCCACATGACCAATGTGACCACATGCTACCAATAATGCTAGAAATGTTGAATGATCAGGTATCAAGAGGTTCATTTCCACCATCTCAGTAAACACTTTGATTGCGGTTCTTCCATGCCCATTATGTGCATATCCATGAATCAACGAATTCCATGACATGACATCATGGGTGGTCATCACATCGAAAGCCAATCTTGCGTCATCGAGAATACCACATTTCGCGTACATGTTTACTAACGCATTCCCTGTGCAGACATCGAAGGCACACCCTAATTTCAGAGCAAGGCAATGGAATTGCTTTCCTTGGTCTAAGACTGCAAGGTTACTGCAAGAACTTAGTGCACTAGAGAGTCCATATTCGTTAGGTGTAACCCCTTGATTATGCATAGCAACTAGTAATCTTATCGATTTCTCATGGAAACCATTTTGGAAATAGCCAGATACAACAGCACACCAGGATGCCACATCACGGTTTTTGGTTCTCTTGAAAACCTTCTCCAAGTCCTTAACGTCACCATTTCTTGAGTACATTGTAATTAAAGCATTCGAAATACGATTCTCTATAGCAAAATTCAGCTTAATTACCAAGCAATGCAGTTGCTGACCCAATTTGATGGATCCCGAGAACAACCCACATGCCCCGATAACAGTTGCAAATGTAAACTCATTAGGCTTTATACCCTCCAAAACCATTTCCTCGAACAATTTCAATGCCTCATCTACACTCTCTTTATGAAGGCAGCAAGAGATCATCGAACTCCAAGTAACAACATTCTTATCATCCAATTCATCAAACACCAATTTCGCCATGTTGAACTCATAATTTCTGGAATACATTTCAATTAAAGCACTAGAAGAGTAAACACTTTGGTTGATCATTGTCTTTATCATGTAAGTATGGATTTGTTTACCAAGAAGAGGTCCACAAGCTGTAAGAATACTTGTGATCGTGTGTTCATTGGGATGAACCCCTCGATCAATCATCTGACCAAAAACTCTAACAGCCGAATCAAACATTTTGTTCCTACAAAAACCCGATATCAAAGAAGTAAAACCCACCAGATCTACTGCCCCCATTCTATCAAACACTCTAGCAGCTTCATTCATCAATCCACAATTAGAATATAGGCCTATCAAACAAATTCTAATCCGGGAATCACTCTCTATACCCAAACGAATAATTAAGGAAAGAATCTGGCTTGCAAAGTTCAATGCTGCGAGCTCAGTGCAGGCCAGCAGAGCAGCAGACAGTGTGAATTCATTAGCAATCACATCGGATTCAAGCATCTCAATAAAAAGACAGAGCCCGCTAATCGAATCCCCACTATGAACACACCCTCGTATCATTGAAGTCCAAGTTACCACATTTCTCTCGGGCATTTCATCGAACACTTTGAATGCATCAGCAATCAATCCAGCTTTCATTAAAGCATCGATTAATATAGATTCAAGAACAATACCGAATTGGGTTCCTGCCCTTTTGGCTTTGAAGTAAAAATTCTTGGCGGCGGCGAGATTCTTGGTCTCTATTAGGTGTCTCAGATGGTGGGCATGAGTAATTTGGGGAGTTTGGGGTTTTGAGATTGTTTTGGAGAGACTTTTGGAGAGAGTTTGTTGAGTTTTTTGGGGATTGTGAAGGTTGAGGGATTTGGAAATTGAGGGTTTTTTCAGTTGTGAATGAGGGTCAAAGAGATGAATAGTGGATATTGAGGGTTCGAGAATGGGGAAATGTGCAGAGATAATCATATTTGCAATCGCGGCGGGAGATGAGGAATTTGTGGGAGCGAAGCCCACAGTCCAATTTATACGTTAATGGTCCTGTTTTAAACTGAAGTGTTATTTGCATATATAGCCCTTATATCAAGGGTAATTGCAAAAATACCCTACACATTTTAGTATTTGCAAAACTACTCCTCAAATCATCAATTTTGGGTGGGAAAAAACCCTTACAATAATTGGTTATCAACTTTGGTAAGCTACTTTGTAATCACAATGTACAAAAAAGTTCAACAAAATAGTCAAAATTTAGCACTAAGTTGATGATTTGCTGATTTTAGGGATACTTTCTCACAAAGTTGATGATTTGATGGGTAGTTTTGTAAATACTAATATTTCAGATTAATTTGTAAATACCCATAATTTAAGGGGTATATATCCAAATGACCCTAAACTAAACTAGTTTTGTTTTGGACCAAGATGAAAGGGAGGTCCGAAACAAGGTGGTTTGAAACAAGATCAGTGTAAAGTCTAAATTTGACTCTAGAAAACTAGGCCAAACTCGACCTAAATTTATTTAAATAGGATTTTGCTCAGAGTGAGGCCAGGTTTAAACTTGACCGTATTTTGAGAAGATGCCAAACATACCCTTAAGCTTTTCTTGAGTTGCTATAAATCATAAGTCTTTAAAGACTCTGCACTTTTGTGTATTTTAGTAGAAAATTAAATATAAGAATTAAGGTTTAGTTAAACATTAGTTCATGAATATAACCCTCTGACACTAAAAATAATTATTTGTATATTTTTTTTGAGTAAATTACACTAAACCGCCAAGAACATTTAGCATTATGTAGTAAACTTCCAATAACTTTTAGCATTTTGTAGTAAACCCCCAATAACGTCTAACATCGCACTAAACCCTCAATAACTATTGGAATCACAGAAAACTGTTGGATCTGAGATGCAAGCCTGGGGGGTGGGTGAATAGGTTTGCTACTATTTTTCGTACAAACAAAGAAATTACAACGAAAATATTATCAAAATAATAGAAAAAAACTAAAGAAAACACAAGAACTTATAGTGGTTCGGATAGAAAACCTACGTCTAGTCTTCCTTCTCATGAAGATCATCGCTATGACCAAAGTTTACCCAAATCACACCCTGATTCAGTAGGCTTACAAAGATCGAACCCTAGAATTTACCAAAAACCAGTCATCTAACCTAAATACTCATAGATGCAACAACAACTAAGCCTTTATCCTAAATATTTATAGTCGGCTACATGAATCCTATTTTCCATTTTATTCAATTATGAGTCATCTTATTCGTTAAGTTAGTCTTAATCATATCCTTTTAAATTGTTTCTAACCAAGTTATTCTAGGTCTACCTCTAGATCTTCTAACCCTATTAACTCTAATATTATCACTTTTCCAAATCGGTGCATTAAGGGGTCTCCGTTGTACGTGACCAAACTATCTTAATTTATTCTTTATCATTTTATCCTCAATAGGCACAATCTCTAATTTACTACGGATGCACTCACTTCTTATCTGAACATATTGTTTTTTAATTGCCCAATACTCTAACCCATAAAGTATAGTTGGTCTTATAACCGTCCTATAGAATTTTTCCTTTAGTTTTATTGGTATTCTACGACCACATAAGACTCCCAAAGCTCTTCTCCATTTCAATCATCCCGATTTAATTTGATGCACAACATCATCCTCTATCTCACCATCATGCCTAATGGTTGATCCTAAATAGTAAAAATGATTAGTTTTAGGTATTTCTTGGCCATCAATATGTACCATAGACTCTCTTCATTTCCTAGTTTTACTAAAAATGCACTCCATATATTCTGTTTTGTTCTACTAATTCTAAAACCTTTAGATTTAAGAGTTTGTCTCTATCTTTCTACTTTAAAAATAATTTATGCTCTAGTTTCATCTACTAATATTATATCATCGACAAATAACATACAACATGGAATTTTCATCCTGAATATGCTTAATAAGCTGGTCCAAACTAATGCAAAAAGTTAATGACTTAAAGCTGTCCCTTGGTGTAAACCTATAGTAATAAGAAATGGTTTAGTTTCTCCTTCATTAGTACTTACTCTATCATACATATCTTTAATCATATCAATATATATACTAAGAGAGAAATGGATAACCTTGGTACCAAGTTGCTTAAAACAACTTGGTAGTGATGTGGCCTAACCTTGCCCCTACATCATACCTCGAAGATAGAGCCTCAACCACCATTCACAAACTCCAATGTAGATGTAAGGACAAGATTAGGCCACATCACTACCAAGTTGCTTGAAACAACTTGGTACCAAGTTTCTCCATTTTTCTCATATACTAAATACATATATATACTAAATACATGTTCCTTTTCTAACACCCACCACATTACCTCTAGGCATTCTATCATATAAGCATTTTCTAGATCGATAATAATCATATATAGATCCTTTCTCTTCTCTCTATATCTCTCCAACAACCGTCTCAAAATATATATAGGTTTCATAGTTGATCTCTCAGGCATAAAACGAAAATGATTTTTAGATATACTTATCTCTTTTCTTAGTCTTTACTAAATTACCCTCTCCCAAAGTTTTATAGTATGACTCATGAGTTTTATACCTCTATAATTTGAACAAATTTTTATATTCCATTTATTCTTATATATCGGTATCAAAGTACTAATCCTCCACTCATTTGATATTTTTTTGTCTCGATAATCTTATTAAATAGTTTAGTTAACAATCCTAAGTCTATATCTCTAATAAATTTTCAAACATCAATAGGGATATAATCCAGTCCTATGGCTCTTCTATTTTTTATTTTCTTTAGAGCATCTTCAACCTCGCTAATCCTAATCTTTCAACAATATCTATAGTTTCTATCATTCACTATATGCTTAAATTCTCTATTTTGCTCACTTTTTTGGTTATCATTAAACAATTGATAAAAGTAACTCCTCCACCTATCTTTTATTATCCTGTTGGTCACTAGAACTCTTTGATCCTCTCTTTTAATACACCAAATATTATCTAAATCTCTACTCTTCCTTTCTCTAATCTTAGCAAGCTTATATATATCTTTCTCTCCCTCCTTAGGTTCTAACTTTTTATAAAAAATTGCATAAGCTTGTATTTATTCTCACTAACCACTCTTTTTGCTTTCTGAAAACACCCTAGAGGACGGTGAATAGGGTTAATGCTAATTTTATTACATATTAATGCCCATTAAAACTTACTAACATATATATCCTAGCAAGATAGATATACGATTGAATTAAAGCAATGATATATATGCAAAGGGCAAAATAAATAAGAAACAATATAAACAAATAGTAGACACAAAGAGCAAATCAAACACAATGATATGATCATGGAGCTCGGTCCTTCCGACCTACATCTCCGCTCTCCACTCTCGGGGAGAATCCACTACCACGACACACCCGGTTTGGAAGCCAGAACTTCTCTACACACTCAGTTTTTTAGTTTACCGAAAACTCTACAAGACACTCACAATGTACATACACAAACTATAACCTCAAGTATTGGTCCTCACGTATCGCCTCCCTCAAGTGCTTGGCTTTACAACCTCTTACTAGGCTTTACTACCGACGTCACTCCTCTTAGTATCGACTACGTACTCACCACACACTCCTCTCACTGTAAATGTGTATTACAAAGTGATACTCTCAAAATAAGGCTCAATTACAAGATTTGTTCTCTATAATATATGAGAACACAATTTAGGCTCACTCTCACAATATCACAATCTCACAATCCAATATATAATGTATGAAATACTAAAAACTCAAATAGGGATGTGTGTGATAAAATGAGTTCAAATGAAATCTAACTCAATTAGCAAACTAACAATAATAAGAATATGAAAATCAGTAATAAAATTGCTAGAGAAAATAGTTAGAAAAACTTCTCTATAAACACAATAGAGGATGAAGAAGATTGATGATGAATTCCTCAATTGAATTTGTAAGCTCCCTCTTTATAAACACAAACTCAAGAAAGTTAAACAAACTTTAAAACTCTTTAAACTCTTTTTAGAACCCTCTTGGATGGATCTCAGAAGTAAAACCATAAGAGGTACATATAGGATGAAAACCAAAGCCCAAAAACCAAGAAAACCTAGCAAAAAGACAAAAATATAAAAGGCTGGAAAAACTAGCCGTTATTGGCATCGATCGACTGATGAGCTGAATTAGTCGACTAACGAGCTGACCGTTACAAGCAGCTAACAGCTTATCAGTCAACTGATGAATCTCGTCAGTCGACTGATGAACTCATCAGTCGACTGGTTAGTCGACTGAATAAGAAAACAAAAACTTTTGAAGATTACAAGCAGTTTCATTAGTCGACTAATAAAAATCATCAGTCGACTGATAACAGGTTTTCACTCTGTAATGAATAGTAAACATGAATTTCAAACCTCTTTTAAAAATAGAAAATAAATTCCAAAAAATATAAAACTTTGGAAAAAGTTTATAAACATGAATATGAACATGTTGGAAAAGGAATTTTTCAATTTTCTCTTACTATTTGTGAAATCTCAGAAATATTCAAAAACACTAAAATACATGTGTTTATAAACATGTTAATTTTAACATTTAGCTCAAATCAAGTTTTGAAAACTTGTAAAATATTTTTATGGACTTAATAAAAGGTATTAATAATATTTGTATAGTCCAAAACATATTAAAATATATTTTGCATAAAAACACTTATATTTGAGAAAATTCACTAATAAAATGTGTGTGTGTATTTGAGCTTGTAGAATTGCACACATTATATAATCCTATACTATACCAAGAATGAATAATATGAAGCTTTAACTTGATTGGTTGACTTTATTTGCATAGGCTTCAATATCCATGTAGCTCGTTTTCCTGTGTATACTAAACAACACTAAACAAAATACTAAAAACAATATTAGTCATAAATTGTTTGTTAAATCATAATCAAAACAAGAAGGCCAACACTTTCATCCTTACTAGTTTATATTTTTTTTTATGTTTT